GACATCTGGAATAAACGAAGTTGCTTTAAGAAATGTAGCACTACTCAGGCATTTCAAGCATTAAGATGAGAAAGGAAAGAAAGGAACATATCTTCAGAACTTGTTGTATTTAAGATCATCCGGCAAAAAAATAAATAAATTCCTGAACAGGGTGGACTGTGTATCAGAGCATGTGTTACAGTGGTAAATAATGCAGACATTGTCATCATCTTTATGGAGAGCATGTCTAGCTGCCCTCTTGACATCCAAGACTTATCTCTCATGGTCTCTAGGTTGACTCATTCAGGGATAAGAGACTCTCTTGGGAACTTAGTAGATAGGCAGAATATGAGTTCAATCCCTGACCTAAGGAATCAGAATCTGCTTTGTAACCAGGTCCCTCAGGTGGTTCATATGCACATTCATTTGTGGAAAGCACAGGTCTAGGTTATATCTGCCTCCTCCTACTTACCCAACCTATTAAGGAGAAAGCCTCCTTACTTCCCAATTGCCTTGTCTTTGATTTTATCTACCCCTAGATAGGCAAGAGAATTGAAAGGGATAGGAGAGGCTAAGCAGACATATATAATGAAGAGATGAATAGAGAGGGGAAATGCAAAGAGAAATATTCAGGCAAGGGGAGTTTATAGGTGAAGTTCAGGGAAGTGTAGAGACAGGAGGAGGGAGAAATGGAGGACAATTGCAAATATATAAAGAGATGCGGGAGAGCAAATTTGAAGAAGTTTTACTATACAATGTCTCCATCAGTCATTCTTTGAAAAACTTTGTAAGAGATTTAAATTTCTTTTTAACTATCTTTGGGTGCCACTACTGACATTTTTTATGTGAAACCAGATGAGAAGGGGCTACTACAACCCCTAGCTTTATATTAGTTATATATTAGTTGTCATTTCTTAGGTAGGAAGGTGGAAAAGGCAATAAACATGTAAGACAAGTTCTATAATCTAGGAATATGCAGTTCCCATTCTATACCATTTCCAAAAAGGAAGGATTTTTTTCATTATTTAACAATGTTTCTGTTGACTTTCATGGATCTCTGCACTAAATCATTAAATGATGCTAAATTAACACTAAATCCCCAAATAGCTGTCATTTACCAGTTACGCTAGAAAGGGATGCACCAGATAGATCCTTTTAGCTGATTTTAGCTCTGTATTTCTGTATCTAATATGAATGGGAAAAAAAATGAAAATAATCTCCAATTCATGGAATTAAACTAGCAGAAAGAATGTTCCAGCCTTGGTTTTTAGCTAAATGAATTGCTTGAGCATAAACGATCTTTATCCTTATGTACATAACAAAGAGGATCAATTTTGGAGGCCAAATGAATAATAGTGGTAGTAAAAAAAGGAATTCATAAACCAAAATTGGTAGACTATAATAACCCCAACACTTACGGCTACTCTGTATAATCTACATATCAAACAAAAATCACAAAACAAAAAACAATATCTTGTGAAAAATCTGGAATGGTTATGAGAGATGAAGTGATGGTTCTTTCTGAAAAACCACTCTTATAAACATTTATTTTAAAAATAGTTTTTAGATCAGGAGAAAATGTCAGAAAGAAACTCAACCTGACTCTTTTGCTCTTTTTGGTGTTTGATTTGAACTCAAGGTTGGGGATTCTTATGACAACAAAAACAAAGAATTTTGTTTTAATTTAAGCGTAGTCTTTGATGCTGCATTGCCTACATGTGGTAACATGCAACCTTGCTTGACTTAGATATATTACCATGCATTCAACTTCAGAACAATTTCAAAGACTTTCAAGAGACTAGGTGCCCTTTCTTTTCAAGGTAGTATCTAATTAGCCCATGGTAAGAGGACTTTAAAACACACACACACACACATACACACAAACACTAACAAACACACACAGATGGTGAGAAAACTGCTAACCTTTATCAAAATATAGTACTTGTAATCAATTTGTGTAGGATTTACCTCTAATTGCTGTTGTGAATATCATGAATTCTTCCACATTTAAAAAAGAGAGAAAGAAAAGTTGCTGATCTACATGTGCTTTACAAACGCTTTATCAAGGCTGCAACATTTTAGGTGTTTCACAGGCTATAATATAAACATGATGGCAAGAAATTGTGTAGAGTTGATTGCTGCCCTCAAAGCTTACCATGTATACCTCCGGAATACAGACACCACATCTTCTAGTAGACTTGCAAGTCCCTGGGCTATGCTCCAGGGTCAGTGTGCTTTTCTGACTTGGGGCATCAGTGTATGAACCCTAATTACAGTTAATACACTATTCCTAGATAATGATCTCCAATCCCACAGCTGTCAAATCCATTGGAGAAACTGGCGGAAAGTCAAGTCCAGGGAGTTTTAAGGGAAAGCAAAATGCTGAAATGTACAGGATGCTGTCTATCTCCTGCTTAAATATTTTCTCATGGCTCTTGAAATTAAGGTCAAGATCCACAGGATGAATTGCACAGTCCTGCGCAGCCTGGCAGCTTCCTAGCTCCTACTTAGCATTTTTTTCTTGGCCAACTATTCTTTAGCCATACTGGTTTTTCCCCCATCATGGGGCCTTTACCCACATCCCTGCCCTTTGCCTGCTTCATTTCTAACCTCTCTCTTCCCTTCATCCATCAAGTCACAGTGCAAATGTCAAGGTATCAGGAGAAGCCCAACTTCAGCATTCAAACTAGGTAGTTTGTTTCCTCTGTTATGCGATCCCACATGACCTGCAACTTTTCCATGAGAACATCTACCACAATTGCAGTTTTACTGTTATATATGCAATTGTTTTTTCACTGCCTTTTCTCTATGGCTTTAAACTCCATGTTTCTAAGTACTATCTGTCTGACACATAGAGACTCCATAAATATTTGTTAACTGAATGAATGAATAAAAGGGAGAAGAATGAGAGGAAGACATGGAGACAGAAGATGACTGACAGGAAATAAGAGGAAAAGGAGGCAGAGAGAGAAAAAGAAGACAGAGGAAAAGTTAGTAAGTCCTTTAGCATGTCAGATGAAATACAAGAGAAAATCCCTGATTAAAACCTTCCTCTGGAAGAAGAAAAGGCTTATGTAACCTTTTGGAGGATATACCAAACAAATGTGGCACATTGACAGCATATTATAAATAATACTGATCTTAAAATTGTTTTTATAAAGACAAACAGAACACTAAATTTCCTGTTGGCAATATTCAAACCATTAATAATTTTGATTTCAGGTTAATACATTTTGGGGGCAAGAATAGAAGACTTCAGAGGGCATTTAGAATCATTAGAAGCCAGTGTATTACCACTGACATTAAAATCTTTGGGAAAACTCATGATGTCACTTGCTTTGAACAATATGAGGACCAGCTGTAAGTGGTACAAAATGAAGACAAATGACTAAAACTGTTCACATGCAAAACTCAGACTTGTAGAAGAGGACCTCTTCAGCAGCACCAGGCTGTTAGGCTAAATTATTAGCTCATTTTAATTGAAAATGTGAAAAGACATTACACTTTGCAAGATGGTACTCAAGACAGCCATGATTTTAGCTGAAAGAATCTCATTCAGAGAATCCCCACGGTGCCAGCCTTTCAATTATATATTACATTTATGTTACTGTTGATATTCTGTATTTTTGTAGATCTGGTCAAAATGCATTTGGCTCTGAAATGATTTCAATAAAATTCCACATCAGAAAGTCTTTAGTCATCTTGTATTTTAGACCTTTTACTTACATTTCAGTTATTCAAGACAATGTGTTTTTTCACCATCCCCTTCTAAAGGAGATGAGTATCATTAACATGTCACAACTCACTTGTTTTTTATTCCAAATCCATAAACTTTTATTGACAATCTTATGATCCATTCACTTTCAAGAAAAGCTGTTGGAACATCTTGGTTTGACGGAGTCTCTTAAGTCAAGCCCAATATCTCCTGACATGGTGAGTCGGATTTTTGCCAAAAACAGGCAAAAGCTAAACTCTGCTTGTTAGCAGCAGATGAAGCCAACAAGCTGGCTTTGGGAATTATTATCAAAGTAGCCACATTTGCATCCTGGATAATAAGAAAAGACACCTCACACAGAAGCTGGTAAGCATAAATCAACCAAGGTTCCTCTGTCCCTCATTTCACCCCATGTCCAGTCTAAAACTTAACCCCATTAATTTTACTTCCAATCTTCCCCACACCACCTGAGCTACTCCAGTGGTCTCATCCCTGGGTTTCTGGCTTATGTCCTTGGCCTCTTCAATGCATTCTCCACATGGAGACCCAAGTGATCTGATAAACACACATCGGATAAGTTTGGATACCTGTTGTATAGGATAGTGACTATAGTTGATAACAATGTATTGAAAACTTATAAATTGTTAAGAGATTAAATCTTAAATGTTCTCACAACAAAAAAATAAGTATGTGAGGTGATGGATATGTTAATAAGCTTGATTATATTATTTTACGATATATACCTATATCGCCTTTCAGGCGCCTTGCTTTTACTCTCAACATGAATGCCTCTCTCTGATTTGCAAATCTCTTTCCAGAGACTGTCTAAATGGAAAGTTTTTTTGATCTACAGCCCAGACAAAGGAAGAATCTGTATTTCCAACATCTAGTGCAGGCTGCCTCCCTGTTGACATTAATCTTCCACTTTTGCCAGGTCTAGACAATAGAGGTTTGAGAGTGTTGGTCTAAAGATTTATCAGACACCAAGCCAATATATCACCTTGTATGCCATCAATATATGTGGTTTTTGTCAACTGTACCTTAGTTTTAAAAGAATAAAATTAAAAAGAAGCACTCTCCAAAAAAAAAAAAAAAAAACATATTATCACATTATTCATTTGCATGAACCCTTCAGTGATTTTTCTTTGCACTTAGAATAAAGCAAAAACTCTTAACCCTTCCTTAAAATGCTTTGCCATCCCCTCCAAACTCATCCTATATTACTTTCCATCAGTCTGTTTCATATTTATTTTCTTAAAAGTTAAGGTGCAGTAACACCAACACACACTTTCACCCTGGTGTCCCCATGGGCCGCAGCATCCCCCTGGACCTGGTGAACCACCTGGCCCTGCAGCTCAGGAACGCCAGCCGGTCTGAGGAGGACCAAAGGAAGGACCTGGCCAGTGCCCTGGAACAGCTGCTGCAGGCCCACCCTCCAGACATGGACAAGGAGAAGGCTATACTGGTGCTGGCCCTGCTGCTGGCCAAGGAGGTAGCCAATCACATGCCATCCTTGCTACGTGATGTCTTCTGCACAACAGTGAATTTCATTAACCAGAACCTACAGGCCTACATGAGGAGCTTAACCAGAAACGAGATGGACTGAATGGACGGTTCCGAAAGCATGACTGGCTACAGCTTGGTGTGGCCACAGCCGGGTAGCTGCTTCAGTGCAGGTGGACCCCTGGCATGTCAACAGCATTCCTAGAGAAGACGGGCTGGATGGCGGCTGTAATTTCTATCTCAAAGACAATGTTTTAAGCTTCTAACCAATTTCAAAATATCCACATTAATACACTTGAATGAAAATGTCAAAAAAAAAAAATCCTGGCTCATCCTGGCTCACTCAGCAGGTAAGTTGGACCCCATTCAGGAGTTCTGCATCGTGGAGATGTACACAGAGGCGCCCTCACACCTTTTCATGGGTACACATATCACAGGTGATGTGTGCCTTTTATAGTCAAACCAAAGTCATATTATTTCATGATAACTAAATTGCCAAAAATGAATGATGGACTATGTAAGCTAATGCCTACCAAGAAACTCAGTTTGAAGATACCAAAAAATGAAACACAAGCAACCACAAGAAAAAGGCAGAATGGACACTTCTCATATTCCAAATCTATACTTCTTGCATGTTAAAAACAATGACCATATCAGATTTGCCATGATGCCAGGAAGAAAGTGATAATTTAAAAAAAGCATTTGAACTTATACACTTGTTTACTATTGTTAATAACTCTTAACTTTCATACTGAAACTTGACCTATTGATGTGAAAATATAATTAGCAAGAACATTTCAACACTAAGCATACAGACTATTAATCTACCTAAGAATATAAGAGATTGTTATTAAAAATGGCTTTTAAAAGTATTTTATCTTTTAAAATATTTTTGTAACATAGTGATATACATACATAATTTGTAAGTAAGTAAATACATATATTTTTATATTTCTTTCTCAAAATGTTTCTATTGCTGGGGTGGTCAAAAAGCTTAGAGACAACTAGACTCATGTATCAGAATCATTTGTGGAACTGCTGAAAGCAAGGGTGCCTGAGATTCACCTAAGAGTCTCCAGGGGTGGGATGTGGGAATCTGCCTTTTTAAACAGAGCCTTTTGAGATCTTGAAGTGTTCTTAGGATTCACTAATTCCATGCATACCAAATAAATCCTCCTGTGTACCAGGCACTTTGCGATGGTGAGGGGACAGAAGCGAACAATTTAGACAATGCTACTGCTCTCCTGGTACTTACATTTTAATGAGACAAAGAAAAGTAAATAAACAAGAGGATAAATACTTCACATCATTCCAGGCTACAAAGTAAATAAAATGAGGTATTAAGATAGAAAGTCAGGGACTGGGCACAGTGGCTCATTTCCGTAATCCCAGCACTTTGAGAGACCGAGGTGGGAGGATCACTTGAGCCCAGAAGTTCGAGATCAGCCTGTGCAACGTAGGAAGACCCTGTCACTACAAAAGAATTAAAACATTAGTCAGTTGGTGGAAAACACCTGTAGTCCCAGCTCCTTCGGAGGTTGAGGTGAGAGAATCACTTGAACCCAAGAGGTTGAGGCTTCAGTGAGTCATGACTGTACCACTGAATTCCAGTCTGGGCAACAGAGTAAGACACTGTCTCTCAAGAATAAAAAAGAAAGAAAGTCTTACAGGTGTTAGGAAGGCCTCTTGTAGAGATAACGTTTAAGCTGAAGTTGAATGACAAACAGCCAGTCATGCAAAAATATGGGACCAAAGGGAACATCAGTGCAAAGTCCATAGGTGGCAACAAACTTGGAAATTTTGAGGAAAAGGAAAATATCATACAGCAAGCACTGGGGACAAGGATGAGGTGCAAGGGGAGGTGAAGCCCCACTCCTGTCAGCTTTGAAAGGCCAGGGAAGGAGTTCAGATGTTCTCTTAAATGAGATGGGGAGCCACTAAAGGGTCTTGGTAAAGGTACCATCTGATTTGATTCATATTTTTAAAGCGTGCATGCTGGCTCTGTGTGGGGAATGGAATGTAAGAGAGCTGGCAAGATATCAGGTGAGACCCACTGCGACAGTCAACTTTTTCAAACCTAAGGCCAAGGTCAGAACTAAAAAAAAAGTAGCACTTGGCTGTTGAGTGAACAAATCAACAATGAAGAGTTAATAAACAGTAGAACCAAAGAATTAGTCAAAGCCAGGGGTGAATTATAATCCTAGAAACTCACCCCATATTCATTGGTGACCCTTGCAGTTAGAGGTCAGGACCACTGACCACTCCTGTTCTGGGTGCCAGCCAGCCCTCTGCTCGTATTTCAGACAGAGTGCATTTTATGATTAATCTTAATCCTCCTACCTCCTGTAGAAATTAATCATCTAAATGCTTTCCTCAGGGGAGGAGAGAAGGTAAATGATCTCTCCAAACATACCCTTTAAAGTTTTTTTGATGAAAGCAAATTTTTAAACTCACACATTTGAGTGAGAACTGAAAGGTGGCAAACCAATACCTGACTTCTACCTGTGGGATCTTTGAGATGACCCTATGTCTGTCATCACAGAATGAAGTCTGTAACCACAGCCAAGATGCCTACCCTCATCCTTGCCCCCACTTCCAACTAACAGGAGCCAGAAGTTGTCTCAGTTAAGACATGAGATGGCTGTGGTCTTTTTCACTTGAGTTCTTGTGCACCTTCTTTTTCTTTCAGGCGCCTTGCTCTTTTACTCTCAACATGAATGCCTCTCTCTGATTTGCAAATCTCTTTCCAGAGTCTGTCTAAATGGAAAGCTTTTTGATCTACAGCCCAGACAAAGGTAGAATCTGTATTTCCAACATCTAGTGCAGGCTGCCTCCCTGTTGACATTAATCTTCCACTTTTGCCAGGTCTAGACAATAGAGGTTTGAGAGTGTTAATCTAAAGATTCACCAGACACCAAGCCATAAATCTGCCAGGGGGTAGATAGACTTGTGGCATTTTCTATTTGCTCCTAAGAAGATTCTAGGATCTGTTTGGTCTTTCATTGCCTCTGCCCTAAGAGACTGAATTACTCACAACATCAAAATTCACTTCCTCCAGAGCATCTCACGCCCAGCAAAGCTGAGAACAAGGCACCATCCATTTACTTCAGGAATCAAGTCAGAAAATCCAAGGGGAGACATGGAAAGATACAATATATTTAGCTGTGTGAGACATTTTGTTTCCCAACAGAGTAAAGCAAGGGAGGTGTTTCTCATTATATAGTCATATTTCCTAGTGAGTATCACTGAGATTTTTCGAATGGCCATATCTAGTTTTTCTTACCTGGGTTAAGGTGAAAGTTCCCAACTAAGACCAAAACTATAAGGTGTCCACAAGAGAATACTACTAGTAAACTGGATATTCGCTGTATATTTTCATAAAATCCAAATATTAGACAGCAAATCTGAAAAGTGTGCCTAATGACAGATTAAGCATTGTGTCTGCAAAATTAAAGGCATCGTTATATCTTGTCTGAATGCACAACTGATAAATGATTTCCCTTGAAAAGTCATTTTGAATTTTTGTTTTGACTTTTGTTTCCCCTCAGATTAACTGGACTGTCAATGTATGTGGGTATACACTTAAAGATTATTCTCTGTGTGTGTGTGTGGGTGTGGGTGTGGGTGTGGGTGTGGGTGTGGGTGTGGGTGTGCACGGGTGCACACACACATCTGCCTCCCTCTGTGTCTCTCTCTGATACTTTCTCTGTCTCCACCTCCCTTTCTCTTTCTCCCTCCCTCCCCATTTGTGTCCATCTGTCTGTCTGTCTCTCCCTAAAAACACCTAGCTCTACTAAATAAGTTGCATTCCTTAACCCTTTCTACTTATTCTGGCTCAAAAGAACACCTATTTTAGGACACTCATCCTATGGACACAAACTGACTACTTGAGATAACTTCTAATCCAAGAACTCCATAATTAGTAGGCAATCCCTCACTTCAGTTAAAGAAATGTTTTCATGCACAACTGCAGAATGAACTTGGGCTCCATTATACTCCTGGAATCATTCATATGCTGACATCACTTAAAATAGGCACCCCAGTGTGTATAGAAAGATAAGCATCATTTCATGTGTCAAGAATGAGATAGACTAGATAAAAAAAAATGTAGTTCATTTACACTGTGGAATACAATGTAGCCATAAACAGGAATGAGATCATGTCCTTTGCAAATACTAGAAGGAGTTATCCTTAGCAAAATAGTGCAGGACCAGAAAACCAAACAAACACCTAATATTCTTACTTATAAGTGGGAGCTGAATGATGAGAGCACATGGACATATAGGGGGAACAACACACACTGGAGCCTGACAGGGTGGTGTCTGGGGAGGGAGAGAATAGCTAATGGATGCAGGGCTTAATACCTAGGTCATGGGTTGATCTGTACAGCAGACCACCATGGCACCCATTTACCTGTGTAACAAACCTGCACATCCTACACATGTACCCCGGAACTTAAAAGTTGAAGAAAAATAAAAAGAGATTGAGTTGGTAGTGGTTTCTTGGAGCTCTGTGTTTAGAGGGATTCTGAGGCTATCTCCTTCCTTAACAGGAAAGTGCCAAAATCATCACGTCTGATTTCTACAGGAAAGGGAACTTGAACAAGGACACAAGTTACCTTTCTCCAATCTGTTCCTTCACGTGTTTTCTATTGAAAGGCTTCATTTTGAACATGTACTTCACCCCATCACTTGCTAGACCCTCTTAACCAAATATTTTGCTCCCATTTTTTCAGCTTACCTTTACAAGAGGGGCTAGACCCTGGAGTGTTCCTTCAACCTCAATTGACCTATGATATGGCTCATGATATGGTTCATTCTTTATGTTCCATTTTCCAGGCTAATTCTGTAAGTACTTTGTTTTATAGTAAGACTAAGTGAGAATGTCATAATGAATTACGCTTTAGGAATACTATGTTTACATTTTAACTCAAGTTGTGGGCTTTAAGAAGCATGATGAATAAACTTTCTCATACACATCTGCACTCACAGACATTGGTGGTTCATTGCATCATACCCAAATGTCCAGGCCCACTTTATGATGTCAGCTTAGGACTTTCTATGTGTGTGAAAACAATGAACAAAAAGTCTGGTTACCTCAAGATTAAGGTGCAACCAAAAAATGAGCAATCGACCTGTGCACAGAATGGGCAAGCATCTTATGAGCACACAAAAGAGATCCGGGTTGCAATTTTCCCTATAGTACAATTTGCCCATT